GGGGAAACTGCTGAGCCCTGCTTGTATGCTGGGAGCTCGACGACTCTTTTGGCCCCATCCAGGCCACAACCGGGGCCAGGCTCCGGGGAGGGGAGTCACAGCTGCAGTGCCAGCCGCCTGCCACATGGATGGCGCAGATCGAGCCAGGTGTCGAGGCTCCCGCTGCTGCAAACCGGTCTGGGGGAGCAGCTCCCCTTTTGGGGCTTCTCTGTGTAACAGGGACTTTGGACTTACAGGAGGGGAACAAAGAAAGGCTGTAAGAGCATCTAGAGCACAAGACCTTGGATCAGTGCCGAAAAGCAAATTAGTAAGAGATTACAACCCTGCGGGCAAGCCAAGATGACTCCAGAGGAGGTGGTGTTAGACATCCACATCATATCTCCAGGGAAGGAAATCCTGTCCCTGGGTTCAGTTTGCTTCGCTGCTGCTGCTTGATGAAGGTGCTGCAAGGCCAGAGCAAGGAGAAGGTGGTACAAGGCAAAGCTGTGGCTGCAGGCATGCTCCCGTCTGCAGGACAGTGTTCCTGAGTTTCCTCTCTGGAAGTAGCTGTTGCATTCTCTTAGTGCTACAAACCAAAGCCCAGTTCCAGGCCCTCACTTAAAATCAGCTTAAACCAAATCAACCTTGCCACAGTGGGGCTGAAATCTTTGTGGGTAGAGGATGCAGCAGGGCCTCTAGAGCCACAGCATGGCTGCAGCCTTGCTCAGAGCCGTTTTAGCTCTCTCTCGAAGCTTGTAGTACCCTGCCAGGCCACAGGGCCCTGGGCTCTCCTCCCCTCCAGCATGCTGCAGGCTCCTGGCCCCCCCATCAGCCTGAGCCCCCCCCCAATGCCCCGTTACATTGACGCTCAATGCCTGGATACACAGGAAATGCTCTCCTCCCATTCTGCTGCACACGTGAGTGATGGGGCAGAGTCCAGCAGGCAAAGGGGAGTCCCGGTCCCTTGGCAGCATGTGAAGCAGCAGGGCAGCAAACATGGGCATTCGTGCTGCCACCACAAGGTGTCCAAAGTATGCTGGCTACCCCATGGCTGCTAGTGCAGGAGGACATGGCAGGAGGGCAGCCCTAGCTAAGAGGAGGGTCAGAGCACTTCTCTGAGCTCTTCTTTCTGCATTAAATTCTTCCTGCCCTGCAGGGTTTGGCCATCCCATTAGCAGCTGGCAGTTCCTGAGCCTCTGATCCGCAGTCAGCCAGGAGCAAGGATGCTCGACCAGCTGGGCATGGCTGATCCCCATGCAACCAGCACCTGGGAATGGAGCCACAGCCTTATCTGGCTGCTGACGTCCTTACTCAGTGGTGAGCTGCCCCTTGTCCTTAATCCCCAGCTTGCTCTGGAGCACCAAAGGGATGCGCAGCCGCTGTGCAGAGGCTGTGACGCCCTGCGGAGGGATCAGAGCGCCAACCGAGCTGTCGGCCACTGGCCCCGCCACACATCCAGGGCGGAGAGCAGGACCTGAGGATCCATCAGAACCAAGGGACCCTAAGAAACAGCCTCCAGTAATGAAGAAGCCCCCATAGAAAACAGAAACAGAGCAAAGAGATTAGCAGCATTATGAACAAGCTAGGAGCTGCTGGCAGAGTCCTGCCTGCAGCTTGCTGTGACCAGCCCTAACAAGCAGTCCTACTGAGACTGCAGCTCTGGGGAGCATCTCTGCAGCCTGCCACCCCCGACCCCCATTTCCAGCCATGTCTGTGCCTGCCAGACACAGCAGAAACCCCCATGAGAAGGGGAAAGGCTCCGAGGAGCCAGTGCTGCAGCCTCAGGCTAGCACAAACACATGCAGCAAGGCTTTTCGGTGACTGGCGGGGAGATCAGAGGATGAGGAAGCTGTGAGCAGAGTGATCTCTGCCCTCATCCCCACCCCC